AATTTTCTAACTATGGAAAATCAATTCGAAGAAAGAGATGTCAAGTTTGCATATGTTTGCACTTTTTCTTTTATATTGTATGCCTCATTTCCATCTATGTGTACCTTAACATCTTTTGCTGCATCGTCATATTCTAAACGGCTAACTCATTATGAAATATCTAGACGATACATTTTTTGCACGGTCTAGCACATGAGGTGCTTAAAAGTAGGCGAGAATGCATATATTATATTCGAAAAAAATATAGCACAAACGGTTATTAAAGCATATGTGTAACTTTATTGGAGTTGCATTATGATTTAGTGGTCATTTAAGTTTTATCCGAAATAATTTATTTTACTAGTTACTCTACATAACCAGTCGACATTGAGATTAGATTTCATAATGATTTTGTGGTGAAAAGATTTCATAATGATGAGTATGGTGTCTGAAATATCTTATCGGTTTGTCTTTTGGATCACTTGAAATATCTCATCTCGCACAAATGCCGGTTGAAATTAAGATCAAGGGACAAACAAATCATCAAAAGATAAAAATGGTCGGTAAATGATTTCAATGATGGTTTTTACTTTTTACTTTCATGTTCGTTTCATAAGAAGAAAATATATAAATCAAGAAATTTAATCTTTTTACAGTGACAAACTTTTGGCCCCGACAAGTTGACATTAACTTTTATAAAGATATGATAAAAAGATGGTTAGGTAGTTGTTGTTTTAGCCTTGAATTCAATCGACATTTAGGTAACATATCGAAATTACTCTGATGCATAGTTTTTAAAAATAATTCTAGATGAAAACCAAAATATCATGGGATTAACCACTCACGTATCTATAAAAGATTTTGAGATGGAGGAAATTAATTACAAGTGTACTGTATTTGGTAGGAGATTTTTTTTCTTAATCATTGTAACTCAAGTAATTAACGTATTGAACTTATCTTAAAAAATTCAGGTTCTAAAACTATCTGATTTTCCTGAGGAAGGGTAAACTCGTTTTTCTTAATGAATGCAATGTCAAAATTCCTTCGTTACTTCATACAATTTTATGATTTTTTTATAAGTAAAATCACCATTTTAGCAACTTTGTATATGCACAAAAAAAAAAAAAAAAGAGCAGTGTGATAGATGATGGTTCTTGTATCCATGTCTATGACATCTTATTCTGGGTGTGGTGGGAAACAGATTCATACAAATTTCTACATGATGGTGATGAATAGGAAAAGAAGTGGCATGATAACAATGGAGCAAATGATCAATTCTCTGTTTCTTGGTGCCTATGTCTGCATAGGTAGCTATGTCCTAAAGAAATTATCTAGGGCATATAATATATTCTCGACATCCACTTGCAGATTAAAGCAGGGATTCTGTGTATCATGGTGATGAGACAAAATATGTGCCTTGTGTCACACACATACTGTAGAGAGGCACAATAACAACTGCTATGGCGAGTGCCTTCATTTCAGCTCCACCACAAAACCCTCTTCTTACGTGCATATATAATTGCTCTGCTGAATTTTGTTTCCTTCATTGCATACACGTGCTTTCACTTGGTTTTCAACTTCTCAATCCATTCAACAAAAGGTCAATCTTGAGAAGTATCGTTGTTGGATATAATTGGTGCAGGATACACAGGGTTGCATATAATTTGCAAGTGCGAAACAAAGAAAATGTTCCACCACCACACTACGGGAAAAATGGGTTCTTGCAACACTTGGATTGCAACACTATTTGAAAGAGTTGCTTTAAATATATAACTGCAACACTTTTTTCTTAGGTTGCGTATTGGTTGGTTTACGCAACTCATATTAGTTATATGTTGCATTTGCTCTATTATACGCAACACTCATGTAATCGATTATTAATTAGTTGTCTATTTATAAAGTTTACGCAACATTTTAACATATTGGGTTGCATAATATCTACTTCACAATTTCTATAACAAAAAATCTACTTCACAATTCGTAACAAGAAAAACATTTTGATTATTCTTTATATGTAAATATCTGGCTAATATAAAAAACTAAAAAGAGATAAATCCCATAAATAGAAAAGCAGAAGATCCTAACTTCCTAAGTGATTACGTTCCCCTTTATCTCTTAATTACCTAATAAATATGTTTCCTTATCATGGTAAATCAATAAAGCACTTCCCTTCCTATTCTTCTTCTAATTGATCAAAAAATTGATATTACACAAGCCCTTTGTCTTTTAGTCTTCCGCCATAAATGAAATTCAATCAACCTCCAATCCTATTCTCTTTTGCGGACTCCAGCCGATCTACGAGGAATCCCGATCGGCCATCTCACTTGATTCATCGACAAGATCATCGCATCAACCTGTGACTCTCCTCTTATGTTATGTGTGATCGGCCGGGTACAGTACTTCATCAATGGTTTTTTCTCTCTTCTCACGTTTTGGTATATATGTATAAATTGATACAATTTTTTGGTTTTGACAGCCAACACTAATAGCTATGTCACGTACAAAGAAGACTAACAAAAGACAAATGGAGCCTATTAATGTTAGATGAAAAGGTGATCCTGAATTCTTCTGCCCATGCCTTGAGTCTTTCCTTCAAAAAATTTCTTCCTATTTAATTCCCAGTGATACAATTATCTAAATTGTTGAACATTTATGTTTGCCTACTAAAGTATGCCCAAACAAATTATTGACCCGCTAAAACTGAAAATGATCTCAGGTACTAAAAGATTTAGAGAATGGTGAAGGGATTCAAGAACCAGAGGAGAAGTTTGGCTCATTGCACCGAAGGAGGAAGGGATCCCATGAAGGCAAGGATATTAAGTATTAATTAACTAACGAGAAATTGATAGAATATGTATCTAACCTTAAAGTAAAGCATTTGGTAGAACCTGTTACCAAATGTTTAGTATTGCTAGTAGCAAGGTTGGAGTTTAATAATATTTTTTGTGATATGTTATGTTGTCACCGTTGATGTTGTTTATGTGATGAAATTTTTGTTACAAAATGTTTTTGTTGTGACAATCTTATAGTCATAAATTATGAGTGACCGTAATGTTGCATATGTGACAATTACATTCGTTACTAATAGTTACTTCAGTGATAATTGACCCGATCCCTAGACCATACCTTCAATCTTGAAAAATGTATTTGTGACAACTTTGGTTGCAGATTACAATTATTTGTGACAATTAAACACGTCAATATTGTGGTTTTTGTGTCGACACTAACTTGTCACCAAAACGATCAATATCAACGACAATATTGTCACGAATGTATTAGTACATGTTACGAACAAAATTGTCACAATTGAATTATCATTTATGATGATTTAGACTCGTCATGGATGAAATTTTAATGTTGCAAAAACTTGTAGAAATTGTTGCCTATATTTCTAGAACGTGTTGCAAAATTTTGGTAATGTGTTGCGTTTAATAGTATTGCGTAAGAGGTAAGTATATGCAACCCTTTTTATTTTGGTTGCGAAAAATGAAAAAACAGTTGCATATTCCTTTTGCAACCCCCACTATATGCAACTCTAACAAAAGTGTTGCCTTCGGATTTTGTAACTCTTTTTCTACTTTCCGCAACACATTTATGAGGGTTGCAAGAACCCTCTTTTCCCGTAGTGCCAATACTATCTAGGAAATTACAAACTGGTATCAACTATCAGCACATAAATTTGAAGTTTATACATGTTTATTATATCTTGTTTTTAAATCAATTGTTAATATTAGGAGTCGTGATGATTATTTCAATATGAGACTTTTTGATCAAATGATATGGTATCTTGTGATGAACCGGTAGTTGGAGTAACTCGAACGGTAAGAAAAGATGAAGAAACGAATCTTATATCATTCATTTACATCAATCACATAGTTCCAATCAAATTTGGCTAAATAGTGTATGAGAATATTGTTTTGTGACAAAAACAGATAGTCTATGTTCATCAAAGCGTACCAAACGAATGACCATAATAGTGGAGAAGCAAGGGTATTACATTTTCTCGTGTCGATAATAAAATTGAGGTAAAACGTTCTAACTCTTAACCATGCTCACTTATGTTTGGTCATTGACAATATTTCGTTTAGAGTGTGGGGTGAAATTGATTGATTGTTTACCTTATGTGCTTTATAAATGCTATAAATGATTTATTTCAATCTTTCTTATGTAATTCATTTTAAATAGTTACTATATGCTGCAATTTTCATTTAAAAAAATGCTAAAAAATGAATCTTGCATCTATTAGATATATTAGATGAATTGATTCGTTTTATATGCAAAATATTTTCAGAAAAATTATTTTCTTCAACCTTGCCATCCTCTATAAGCACAACAACAAACTGGACCTTTTGCGACGGCAAAGTTCATCGCAAAAGTCCTCAACAGAATGGCTAGCAAGAAGAGGAGAGAAAGACGGGAGGTGATTGGGAAGGCGAGGAAGGAGACAAGAGTCAAATAAGGTGATATGCTGCTAAGGTTTGACGTAGTATCGAAGTGAGAAATCCTAAGATGCCCTAGAGTCGTATTCCTCAAGGTCTTCTAATGCACAACTACTCACACCAACCATCAAGACATAAACGAATAGAACAAGCAAACAAGAAGAATAAAGTTGTTTAGAAGTTTTTGATTTATAGAGATGCATGAAAGTAAGGATACGTTATTGTAATAGGTAGTGAACTCGAAGATAATCATTCAAACCAGGGCTCTTCACATAATGCATTGATGGTTCACATCTATTGTATGATCCTATCCCTTCCTATAGGGCCACTCTATACTCGTGCATGCGCTTATTGTGATAGAAATTTAACTAGCTAATGCGTGCTTTGGCTTCATGTCATTACCTAACTAATGAAGAACAAAGAAGTTAGGATAGCATATAGTTTTTTTTGTAGAAGACGGGAGGCTAAAAGGGTGCCCCTGTCTGTTACTTAAATTAAACGATCTTGGGCAATGCTCATTGTCATAAAGAATCCAAAAGTTAAGACCTGGATCAGAAGTATCAAAATCATGGGTACCAAGACTCATCGAATGAGCCTTATAGGATAAGTAATATGCTGCTTTGTTGCCCACTCTAAAAGTAAGAGAGATTTCAATCTCCCAATCTCATTGCATGAGCTCCCTAAATCGGAGCGTGAAATTGTAGTACCTCCTATTCTCTTTTCTTTTGTCATAAGAATGTGAATGATGGTGGTAGAGTCCAACCTCAACTTGATCTTCCTATGTCCTTGATTCCAGCCTAGCTGCAGTCCAATTAGAGAACCAGGGATCTCTACTCTCATGATGCTACAACTTCCCAAGTTGGCCACAAAAGCCCCTAGGCATTTTCCACATTGGTCACTTATCAATCCACCAGCTGTTGTTGCGGAGGTATGTTGCTTAACAGAGTTGTCCGAGTTGACGACCACCCAACAATGAGGAGGAGTAATCCACGCCACCTCCTGGTTTGTTTTAGCACTCCTCTTGTTGCGAGGCCGGTCATCATTCTTTTGTGCACTCATGATTGTTTCTGTCGAACACTGAATACGAGGTACTAGGGTTGTTACTTCTTGAAACTTGTGCTCAAAGACCCATTCATTTCTCCTCTTCCATAGGTACCAAACAGGTACTCCGAACAGCAAGCCCCTATTAGAATTCTTTAGGTTAGCTGCCAACCAACCTGCAAAATCGAGGCTGTAGGCTAGAGAAGTATCCACAAGTCCTATGTATCAACATAGTGAGTCAAATATTCTTTAGTATAAGAATATTACAATTATTTCTACCCCAACTTAAATGAATTAACTCAAAACTGTAAATTATGTTCTCTTTTTATTGACTAGTGATATTGAAGAAAACCAAATTAAAATGAAGTGCCATATTTTTTTAAAAATTATGATATCATTTTATTAATTAAAAAGAAAAATGGAAACCATGCAATTCTAGCTTAACCGACTAGGCACATGCAAGTTTCCAAAGAGAAAAAGGGTAACAATCAGGAGCAACGTTCAGAGATAGGAAGAAGGTAAATACTAATTATTAACCAAACCTTTTCTGCACGAAATCTATTGAATTACTATTAATTAGTCAATACTTTTGTAATGCATAAAAACATTAGCTATTTTTATGTTATTGTAACTATTTTCTTAGTTAAAATACTAAAGTTTTGGAATGTTGATGTTCATGTATCTCTTTCAAGTTAGTATCATGTTGCCAAGTCAATATTACTCATAAAATTGCTAACTGGAAGTTAACATTTGGCCAATTATTAGAAATTGAATATGTTTGGCTAATAAAAATAAGGACTTTGCTACGGTGACATACTTGCACTTTTAGGTCGACCTCATATAGGATTAGGTCGACCTAATCTGCATTTTTAGGTCGACCTTATATATGATTAGGTCGACCTAATATGTCGTTTCAGTTTTGTGAGGTTCAACAACGCCGCTGACCTTTTATAGCAAATGGTCGACCTCTTTGGGAAGCGAACATAATGAAAGGTCGACCTAAATACCTCATAGGCTGACCATTTTGATTAACTGAGGTCGACCGCATAAGTACGATGTCGACTGCGTGCACACCGTATCCGTATTTGATAAGGATTCCAACACCAGAAAGGTAACCCTAACTTATCTACCACTTAATTCGACCCATGCTCGTCCCAAATATCTATAAATATGAATATATGTCAGCTTCACTGCCACCGAAATATCGATTTAGGTTTTTTTACGGTTAGAACTTTTGTGAAGAAGATCCTTTGCGGTTGCTGTTTTACGTGATTCAAGATGTCGACCACGTGGAAGTTATGAATCATTGTTATCATTATTTATGACTGATTCTGTTGGTTTGAAACGGAATTTGTACAAGCAAAAGAACCACCCACATCGACATACATAAGCAAAAAAGACGCAGGGCATAGGTTGTTTTTTTGTATTCAGCCGACCTCGTACCAGATTAGGTCGACCGCGAAACCAACACTTGATCTTCATTTTACGTCAAATGATGATGGATAAATGGATACAACACTTCTCATCTATCTGGTCGACCTCTTTCTGTAAATGGTCGACCATTTTGTTAATGACTGCCATCAAGTGGTCGACCTATATACCTTTACCGTCGACCATTTTGCTTCTGATGCCAATGAAAAGGGTGATCGACGTTTTGTTGTGGTCGACCAACAATGACAACTTAAACTACAAACGGTCGACCACTACATTTTAAAGGTCGACCATGATAAGTCATCAGGGTGCCCACATTAGTGTATTCTCTCACAAAACTGAAACGGCATATTAGGTCGAGCTAATTCTATCTAAGACGACCTAAAAGTGCAGATTAGGTCGACCTAATCCTATATGAGGTCGACCTAAAAGTACTAGTTACGGTGACATGCATGTCACCATAGGCATATACTAAAAATAAATGTGGAAAAGATTTGAGTAATAATTAGTATTTACCAGGGTTCAAGAAGGCGGGCCTAGGCGCACGCCTAGGCTCAATTAGGCGCTAGGCGGTGGAGGATCGCCTTGACTTGGCCATAGGCGTTGTAAAAGACGCTGGTAGCGCTTAGTAGGTAGGAATAGCGCTTAGTTTGCGCCTAGTGGAGAGAAGGCGTGCCTGGGCGAGCTTAGGCGGTTAAACCCAATACTCTTCGTTTTGTCCTAGAAAATCAGAAAATTGCCTCTTGCCCTAGAAAATCAGAAACACGGGAAGGGGATGACCATGCTATGTATGTATTCGTAGATGAGGATGAGGAATCATATTGTGCACCCTCGAGTACTGTTACAGATGCAATGACGGGTGAACAGAGTGAGCTTTGCAAGAGTGCACGAGTGAGAGAGCTCCATGATGAAGAACTAGAGTTTGAAGAGGAGGAGGATGGCGAGGAGATTGCTTTTGAGGATGATGAAGATGAAGTGGTGGCTGGACGAACCTACTTGGATGATGAAGAATGAACATTTTCCTATCAACTTATTGACTATTGTTTAGTATTTCAACATTTTATGAACTTGTGATTCTAGGAAGTGGTCACTATTTGCTTGTTATTTGTTATGTTAAGTGTTTACTGTTAAGAACTAGGGATTGCTAATTTTATATGCACTTTGATTATATGAATTATTCCAGAAAACATGAAATATTTGAGAACTTTTTCCATTTATGCTCAGAACGCCTAGGCGCGCCTAGGCTACGCCTAATCAGGCAAGGCGCAAGTCAGGAGCCGAGCGCCTGCCATACGCCTAGCGCCTTTTAGAACCTTGGTATTTACCATAGAAAGAAGGGTTGATAACTTATTTTGGCCCGAACTATATTCAAACTTTCTACTTTGGCCCGTATTATCTGAAATTGCACTCCCTGACCCAAACTATGCATCATACTTCCTTGCTTGACCCGTCACGGTATTTTACCATCAAATTGGACGGTCAACTCAATTGACCGTTAGTCAAGCGCAAGGTCACTTGCCACGTCAGCAAACTCGAAATAAAAAAATTTATATTTCAATAATTATTTTGTTTTCTGAATATTTTTTTCATTAATTATTATTGTTATTATAAAACAAAATGAATCAAATAAATTCAAAAACCACAATTTTATTCGAGTTCATTGACGAGGCAAGTGACCTGGCGCTTGACTAACGGTCAAGAGAATTGACCGTCCAATTTGACAGTCAAATACCGTGTTGGGCCAAGTAAGAAAGTATGGCGCATAGTTCGGGCTAGATGAACAATTTCAGAAACCACGAGCCAAAATAGAAAATTTTAGTATAGTTCGAATCAAAATAAGATATTAACCCTAAAAAAAAAATAGATACCAAAGAGGAAACACAATATCAACATCCATGAATTAGTAAGTCGAAATTAACCGAGTGACTAAGACCTCTACCTTGACTCGCTTTATCTAAACCTAACAGTAATTTAAACTAAGAGTCAAATTAGAATACTCATAATCAATCTAGTAAAAATCAGGATATTAAGTAAAATAAAAAAACTCATGTAAAACAGTAAGATTTTAAGATTAAAATTGAAATTTTGACTACATTGATCATAATATGTTTTCTTTACTTTGAAAAAATGATAGGGGTTTGATGAGAATTATAAAGGATTAATTTGATCCAATTGTCTCATTTTGAGATAATTGAGCCAAATTGACTCGTTTGACAACATAAAATTTGGATGAAACAATTTAATCAGTAAAATTTCGAATTGACTTGTTTTGAGATAATTACAATTGTGAGAGTTGAGAGCAAATAATTCAAATTAACTCCTTCTAAATTAATTGTTTTGTTAAATGAGACAATATTGACTAAATTGTTTCGTTTTCCTAAATATCAAAACTAACCCTATAAGGCGCCAGATAAACAAGAAAATCAACCGCAAAGTGGAACTCATAACCGTAAACCTATTGCGGTGCTGAGCCATGCTTCAAAATGGCCATCCATCATCCATTATATTCAGCAGAGCACAAGATCCATTCCATAGGCACGTTGTATGTGTCCACTAATGTTCCTCTTGATGGGAAACATGTAAATATGGTCAACCTATGAGGGTACAAAGTGACATGGGAGCTTTCACAACCCACTAATTAATCAATTCCCCATTACTCTCTCTCTCTCTCTCTCTCTCTCTCTCTCTCCTCCTTTACTAAATATATAGAGAGAGTTCCTCTTGACTTCTCACATACCTTCATCTTCACTTCATCCAAATTCTCCCCCCACTATTATTTCCTCATCCCAGCTTTCATACTTGGAAAAACAAAATTTATGGGTTTTGGAGCTCTCCCCGATGGGTGTCTGGATCTAGGCTTATCCTGCCATGGAAGGCGAGAGATGATCAAAAACAACAACCACAGCAACAAGTCATTGTTCTCCTTCAACTACGATCCCTCCTTTCCATCCCTCTCTCTAGGCCTTATTCCACCACCACAACAACAGCAACAAGATGGTCATGACCATCCGACAGGCGGCGGCGGCGTGTTTCTCCCGAAAATCGAGGTGGAAAATCTGCAGGCTTCCTCTCCTCTCAGTACTACCGCCGTCTCTACTTCCTTCTCCAGCGTGAAGAAAGAGAGAGACTACTATTCCGGCGGCCGCAAAGGAAGAGGAGGAGGAGGAGGAGATCGTGATGGTGCCGCGGAGGGATCGGGCGAGGAGAGATTCTTGGTGTTGTCTGCTTCGAGAAATAGTACGACGACGGATGAAGATGAAGAAGGCAGCCCCAGAAAGAAACTCAGGCTCACCAAAGACCAATCCGCGCTTTTGGAAGAAAGCTTCAAAGAACACAGCACCCTCAATCCTGTACGTAAAAATGACACACCTTTTGTTTTTTTTCCTCTCGATCTATGGTGTTGTTTCGGATGGAACCGCCATGCATCTGTTGATTATTTAATTTTATTTATTTATATAAAAAAAATGGAATTATGTTGAAGCAGGCATGCCAATCAACAGGATCCAGCCGATTCAATTATGATAGTAGGTGATCTAAGTAACGCGGTTTGAAATGAAACGAAACTTTTGGCTCTTTATTTTTTTTTATATTTATCGAATTTTATGTGATTTGAAGGAGTATAGCTCTGATTTAATTATGCTCTTCGTAATTAAATTAATAATTTTTTTGTTTACCCTCTTCGCATGTATCGCCTTGATTGATGATTCGGAAACAGAAACAAAAGCAAGCGTTGGCCGACCAGCTCAACCTCCGCCCACGCCAGGTTGAAGTTTGGTTCCAAAACAGACGAGCCAGGTAAATATATTCAATAATTAATTTATTTTTGATATATATAAAGTTATAAATGTTTCGTAATTAATTATTATACGGCGAGCAGAACGAAGCTGAAGCAGACGGAAGTGGACTGCGAGCTGCTGAAGAAATGCTGCGAAACGCTGACGGAGGAGAACAAGAGGCTGCACAAAGAGCTCCAAGACCTCCGATCCATGAAGCTGCAGGCAGCGGCGGCGCCACCGTCGTACATGATGCAGATGCCGGCGGCCACTCTGAGCATGTGCCCTTCCTGTGAGAGGACGACCGCCGCCGATGCCACCAACGATAATAATATCCCGTTGAGAAGCATGAACGGGGTGGTACCGAAAGGTTATTTCTACAATCCGGCGGCCTTCAGCCACTCGCCGTCAGCAGCTTGCTAGATTGTTTCATCCCGCAAGTCTGTTTTGGTCATGATGATATTGTTATAGATATTACATATATTATAGTGAATGTTCATTAATTTTCTTTTTGGCTTCTTGATACTAATACTAGTTTGATGAAGCACGCATATATATTATTCTCTTGCGTTTTTGTTGAGAGTACTGTGGCGATATGTAGTACCCTTGTATATTAGAAAATTTTGATGGCATATATTTCAAGTGAGGAATTGTATTTCTACTTCTTATAATTAAATTAGCCAAGTATTTTGAATTCGTAATTTTGCTCGTGCGTGATATTATTGGGGAGAATCCTTATCAAAGTTAATGAAAATTTTGATCACCATGATTGGAAGTTTAACAATAATATATTAAGTGATGACTCAAGACACAATGTAAATTCTCATAACTCTTATCTCTACTACAGTGGTAGAAATATCATTTTAACCGTAGATAAGAAGGTGAGATCTCTCTCTAAAGTCAATACAAAAAATGGTACGTCATTTGTTTGGTTATTAACTATACAAGATCATACTTATCAAATAATTAGGTCACTTTTGCTGAACTTTTTGAACCTAGGTTAGATTAGCCAACCACATGAGTAGAAATTGAAATCAATCAAACTTGACTACCAAATCAACTTTTTAATCTAAAACCAAAATATGATATGATGAGGTATATATCCACTTTTCATTGATATGTGATGTTCACTCTCAATTAAATACGAATATTAAACGCGTAATATAAGTTTTGTACATGTTTAATATGAGAGTTATAAAATATACGAAATTTTTTTTTACAATAATTCAAAAATAAAACTTTTAATGGGTAAAGCCGTAGTGAGTAGTATTTAGTTATTTACTATGAAAAACAAATGCCGACACACACACATATATATATATATATATATATGCACTATCAGAGATACACATGCATTATTGATTAGACAGGATAAGTAGTACATCCAAGAAGATTAATCATTTCTCAGAATATATCCAATAAATAATTAACCTTCTTGAGTTCACATTCATGCATGCAGCACGCCTTCCTTTTTTTTTTTTTTTTTTTTGGTGGGATAGCACGCCTTCCTTAAAGAAGAAAATTAAAAATTATCAAGTATACTATATCCAATAATTTTCCAAAAAAAACAAAAACAAAGCTATATAAAACCAGTCCACTAATTGTTTTTGTGCTCTTCTTGTTGTAACGTTTATTTCCAAGGATAATTATTATCCAGGGCCGGGTTTCATACCTGTCCTCAATTGCCTCCATATTTAATTGTCGTCTCAATCATAACAGGACAAGGGTCTGCAAGAAGGTTACTGTCCTACGCGAAGGGGGAAATTCAGTGATTATTTTTTTATGAAAAGAGAGACACCATCACTTAATTTGTCAGTAACCCAGGAAACACCCACCTATACAGTTGATGATGTTGCCAAAGATTATTTATGTAATTACTATATATATTTAATTCATGTCACGGTATACGTTTTTCTAAATAAATAAATGTCGACGATATTGTTGTCATGATCGATGTCACCAAAATGAACATTCATACATTGGGCTCCATATTATAGCACGCCTAATTAGTTCTGGTATATAAAATCTTAGCTGGTCCTTTTACCACGTCTTGCTAAATCTTTTCTGTATATATTAATAGTACTACGTGGATACGACAATATTATGCCCATCATTTATACCTAAATTTATAATGATTTTAAGTTATGTACATGATGATGAATCATCACTATTGGATAGTATACGTGTGTATTTCTAGCAACGTCACGCACTAGAGAGAGTTAGAACATTGAACTATAACATTATTGGCTTGCAACAGGAAATTTGTTACTTCTTCGCCATTAATTAGGGCTGTCCATTTGGTTTTGGTTTTTGGTTTTAACCGAAACCAAACCAATTGGAAAGCTAATGGTTTCAGTTTTTTGGTTTTAAACCAATAAGCAACTTAATGGTTTTGGTTTGGTTAAAACCGAAAAACCAATAGAAACCATTAAGAAACCAATAAGAATAAAATTATTTATCAACAATTTTTTTTGTTGTTGTTTTTTTTTTTTTTTTGACACGCATGCCAACCAATAATTTGCAATGGCCATTTACCATTATTATGACGTTTATTCAATAAAAAGGAGGGAAATATGAATAAATATGAGTGTATGAGTACATGTTGGTTTTTTGGTTACCAAAAACCAATAAGGACCTTAATGGTTTTGGTTTTGGTTTTTGGGATTTGGTTTTTGGTTTTTCATACTTAATGGTTTGGTTAACCAAACCAAACCAAATTGACAGCCCTACCATTAATACATTGGACATGACTCGCAATAATAAAAGTAGAACTATACATGATCTGTAAAATAGTAGACAAACTGAATATGAGAAGCAAGGATTTTCCACGTGGTATCTCCAATTATTTATTGGGACTAATATACGAGAGATTAACGTCATCGGCTTTGATTTTTATTAATAAAATTTTGTGTTGATGGTCGAATTGTCTTACATATGTTTATATATTATCCATCGGTGTAACTACGTTAGAAGGAACGTAACAATTCTATCTTTATATGATGTGGCAAAGACATAAACATGTTGGACTAAGCTTCATGCTGGACAAGCTCGGACTCGATCTTAGGCTAACTAGTCGTTAACATAGAGAGGCTGATGTAGAAACCAAACAGTTGCAAACTGACAATTTTTATTTAATGATCGAAGGAACAAATATATACATGGAGCCAAGCTTCTGCTAAGCTGCAATTTCGGACTCTCTAACGACCAACCCACTTCCTATAAAACAGCAACCCGCTAACTACGATTACCTACTTCTACTGAACTAATGGACCGTAGCCCACACCCACGTCAAACAACTTCGCTAATTAATCCTACTCAGCAAAACAGCATAAACACTCAACAATAATAACTCATAAACGGCACAACACAACTAAATTATTCCAACAATGCCTCCCCTGAACTGAAGACGGCTACGGCTCCAGTTCATTCTTCCTCATCACCTTCTCCAGCCAATTTTCCTCCCAATCACCAGTTTCTCCATAGCTTCTAACTGCTAATGCTAACAAAAGTCTCCCCTAAACTGAAGCGTTGTAAACCTTCAGTTTAATATTCAGTCTTTCATAAGCTTCACAATTGAACCAACAAATTCACACATTCATTCTTTCATAAGCTTCACAATTGAACCAACAAATTCACACGTATCAACCTTCTTCCTTAGTCCCCTTCCATACATAACATGATTTTGAGTTCTTATGTCTCCCATCACATTGAGCTTCCATTCTATATAATTTAGGATTCTTCTCATCTAACTGCATTGTTTTGAATACCCAGCAACAACCACAACCTTGTTTTCTGTAGATACCAAAGTAGCCATTCCCTGCTTCTGTCACCCCAAAGAAAACTCATATTGCTTCTTGGAATACATAATCATCCAAGCTTTCAGACTGCTCACAATTTTCAAACTTTCTTTCTCTCGTACGTCCACCTTTATTTCCCTAGTAACGACAATTGCCAACTGATTTCCTATCCCATAATGTGGTTGATTCACTAAAGGAATTTGATTAGCATCTGTACTTACTCTTCCAACACCACCATTAGTAGACTAACAAGGTTAAAGCTTTCTCTTTAATCTTTTCAAGCTGTCCAAGTCCATTGCTCGAGTTACAATGTCAAAGTGCATAATCCCTTCAGGTAGGGGTGGCTATACAGTCCGGTCCGGTTAAATTTGCCCAAATTGATCCGGTCCAGTCTGGGTTTTTAGAAAATATAAGGACCGAAGATTGGATTGGATACAGTCCGGTCTTGACCCGGTCCGGTCCCAATTCGGTCTTGATTTTATATTGAGATTGTGGGAATTTGAGTGGCCTAAGGCCTAAAAGGGTGAGGAGTTGGTTAAGTTTTGTACTAAGTGCAAAGGTTTGTGACCGTTTATGCAAATTACCCTTAAGTTTTGGGTGTTGAGCTCTCTTATCCGGTTTTTTACATCAAATCTAAGCCCAAAGATTGGATTGGATTGTTTACTATCCGGTCCCGGTCCGGTCTCGGTCCGGGTTATACGGTCCGGTTTCCGGTTTTTCATCCGGTCCCGGTCCAAATAGCCAGCCCTACCTTCAGGGGTTGAATGCCTTAGAGAGTGAAAATTGGCACCCATACACTTGCTTCCTGCATTCAAAACATTGTTATGCATTTCTACTCCTCCTCTCACTCCATCCTTCCATTCTAGCTCTTTTGAAACTCTCTTAATAGTGTTGGTCTTCATCATGTTAAAGCGAGTTGCAGCACCAACTGTAAAGCTGACAAGAACAGCCACAACACTGAAAAACCTGCTGCAAAAACTATTCTGGAACTACTCAATTCCGCTGCAAAGTGACCAAACTAACTACATTCAAGTTATTGACAGCAACATTTGAAGTTACCAACTTAGATCTTGATGTTAGCATCAACCCAACTGCAAAACTAGCACAGTGAAGCTGAAACCTTTCTAACATCTTCATAGCTATGTTCTTTTGACATTTGAAGATCCATTGATCACTTTGTGAGACTTCAACACCATTCCACCTGGATCTATTAACTCAACCATATATTTCATTGAGGTTTTAACCTCCTTAACCAGTAGTTCAATACTTTTGCCATACATCACATCATCCACATACAACCTAACTAGGATCAAATCATTCTCTTCCTTCACAAATAGTGTATGTTCATAAGAGCATTTGATAAAATCCAGTAGCCAAAAATACCTTTCAGTTTTGCAAGACAACATCCTGTAATTTTGCTTCACTCCACAATTTGCTTTCTCCAACTTAAGTACCTTATCTTTCTCTCTTTCAGCAACTGAACCCACTGTTTTTGGTTCATCAGCTCCTGCCACTCTTTTAGCAGCTACGAGAACTCTTGTTACTTCATTTGAACTTGTCACTCCTGATGGATCGGTTGGTATATGATTACCACTATCTTCATTTGCTTCAGAATGTTGAGTTTTCAAGCACAACCGGCTAGTGATTATGTTTGGAACATTCAGATCATAATGCAGCAAAAATGTGTGATCAATTATCATCTTTGTTCGCAGTGGAAACCTTTTCTCATCATGAGACACCTTGTACACTCTCCCTTTGGTGAGAAGGGTGCGACTCTTCTCTTGAATTTTGCCTCCACTGTACCTATCGCCAAAAACACCAAAATCCCTTTCTCGATTCATATTCCTATCACAAGCCATTCTCCTCTCTATACCAAGTCGAGACCGTTCCCAACCAA